TAAGAGAGGAAGATGAGGACTTTGTCAAAACCATTAGGGTTCGTTAAACGACGCCAGTGACAATTTTCGAAAGGTGAGTATCGTCTAACGGGGGATAAGAGTTGACGTTCGATCAACAAGGATGACGGTGCGCTGTTGTCAACGTTGAGAATCGATGCGAAAACGAAACGACGACACTGTTCGAAGGAGGCACACACAGGCTACCGTAAGAAGAAGAAGAAGAGTCAGAGGAGGAGGTGAAGGAAGAGTAGGAGGAGAAGCAGCAGGAGAGGGTTGGGAAGAGGGGGGGGGGACGCTAACGAGGAGGTGGTGGTTCACTTCGCTGGAAGTAAAAGAGCCGCGAGCCAGAAAATTGCGCTGCAATCTTCCGCACGTCGCTCGTCTCGAAGCGGTGCAATGCACTTTGTTCCACGAATGCTAGCCGACGTTAACGTTGAAATGCAACCAAAGTCCCATTATCTTTTTCCTTCTTCCTCGCTCAGCCCCCTCCCAACCCCCCACACTCTCTCTCTGTCTCTTTCTTTCATTCTGTGTTATTCTGTTTCTATACAAGTAACCTTTCACGGCCAATGTCTTCTCTTTTCATTGGAGACGACACGATTTCGAGAAGCCTCCCCTCCCCCTGCTCCTACACCAACCCCTTCCCACCCCCCTTCTTCTTTTCTGCTTCTAATACCTTGGTAATTAATTATAGAGAGAACCCTTCTCGTCATCCTCCTCCCAGCCCAGCCCAGTCCTCCCTTTCTTTCTGTTTGTGTGAATGGGTTGCTCGTCAAAGTTCGTTAGACGTTATTCGATTCATACTAATTCTAGGCTATTTTCTCACCTGACCATCACCGTTAACTTCCAAACTTTTGTTTTAACTTAATACACATTTACAAACTAGCTAGTTATATGTTATATACATTGAGATACTTTTAAATACGTATATAATTGGCTAACATTTTGTTGTTTTTAATGTTAAAATTATTGAGAGAAGCATAATTATTATCTGACAAATCTATCGTAAATTATTCATTAGATATATCGAAGATTGTTAATTTAATTGGAATCAAAATAAATGTTCGAAATATAATAGTAAGTTTTTGTTTAATATTGAAACTATGTAGGTGAGTGTTCTTTTACGTTATTCAAATAGATTTTTAAGACCTAAGTTATTAACAGTGAATATCTTAGGTCGTCAGATTTACGGTAATCGTCGCACGTGCGATGTAAGAAGACGACACATCCTAATGTCCGTTTAGAAATCGCTAAACAACGCAAGCGCGAGAGTACCTCTCTTACAAACACATATTCATAAAACACACACACGTATAGTACACATATATAAACCCGCGGGGATATACAGTTTCATATATACATATACATAAGAGGACAGACACACACATAACAGGTATACACGACGCGATGAACAGAGCCACACACACAAACACACACCGACTTCTCGTTTTGCTTTCGGCGTTTTCACTTTCCTTGGAAACGTGTCGGCAAGCTGTACCACTTCATCGATCCTCTCACTATGCCACCACGTTGCACTCTAACAGATAAACGGATGCACCCAGCACGTACTTCAGTAAATACGTTTGCTGTTCGATCTACAAAACTAATAAACTATTTCTCCCATCCCATTGAATTGAGCTCATGTTTAGTCCTATTTCAAGGTCATATATATATGATATATACGAATACATGATCTACAATATACTTAGATCAGAATTCATTTCACACATATTCACACAATTACGATTAATTATTTATTTTCAAAGTGATTTGATTTAATTCATTTTGAATAGTATGCGACCAGTTGAGGACTTTAAAGGAAATGAGAAAGATAGGAAAAGAGAGAAAGAAAGAAAGAGAGGAAGATAGACAAGTGGAGGAGGGGGTGAGGGGTGCAGAAATGGGTGTACGAAAGTTACAACGGATATTACTCATATTGCGGCTAACCGGAGAAACTTCTGATTATCGAAAAGGTTCCTACGGAACCGGGCGGCGGCGTTCCTACGTCATTAACCCGTAGTCTAATCAATAGACATAATTATGAAACTATGCGCCATTAATAGTCCCAAGGCTGTGTTAGAACGGCACCGTCATAATATCAGCGAAGGAAGGAACGGAAGAGGACTTGTTCGCGCGTAATTAAGCGGGCATATTTTATTGGAAACAGGTAATTGGGCAATAACGAGACTTCTCCTCCTCCCCCACCGATCTCATCTCTTTCTATCTCTTTCACTCACTCACTAACTCAGTCACTCACTCATACTCTCTGGTTTCTTCCTTCCTTCCTTCCTTCCTTCCTTCCTTCCTACCCTTCTCATTTCATCTGTTTCACCCCTAACGCATCGTATCATGGTAGGAGAACGTAAACCAATAGAATAACACGGGAAGGTATCGAAAACTTTCTTCACGAGGGGTTGAACGTTATCCTTCAAATAGGGATGACTTTAACAATCGACAAAATTGTCATTTGATTTTCTTACTTGTAAAACCTCTGACACACACGACATATATTTTATTTTATTTTAATAATAAGTATATATAATTTAATCTTTTTCAAATTGGATTTTTTTGGCAATTACGATTGACCGAACGAAATGAAATATGCTTGGAGGGATAATAAGATAGTTAATAACGATAAAATTCTACCACAACGATGACTCTAATCGTTGTTGTTGTTACGACACATAGGATTTCAGACTAATTAACGAGCCTATGATGACTATTATCATCTAACTAACGAGCTAGATTCGTTAGAATCGATTCAGGACACACACTTGTTTGATTTTATTTCAGTTAATCATTTATTATTATCTCTGTTTTATATATACTAGTTTTATTATATACAGCAATATCTCGTTCATTCACTGCTAACAATATTATCGATAAGTTTCTTATTTTTCTTTTTTTTTCTCTTTTTGTGTTTCTTCTTTTTTTTTCGCGAATAAGTTAACGATAATCAGAAAGAGAGAGGATGCGAGCAAACGTTTGCATTTCCTGTGCCGCTTGTTAACTGGTCGAACGTTCCGCAAATGCTTATCTGTTATCGGTCGTGTCACCACGACCCCTTTTACTCACTCACTCACTCATGCAAACACACATATTCTCTCTCTCTCTCTCTCACTCACTCTCTCTCCCTCTCATTCTCTCTCTTTCTCTTTCATTCTGTCCGTTTCTTTGTATGTGGGGCACTCTGCCCACAAGTCGGTCGTGCCATCCCCCAAATCGTTGAACTATCCTCCAAACACCGAGTACCGCAACACCAAGGGAAACTTCGACGTTAGTAACCCTCGCACCCTTTTCGGACATCCTCTCTCTCTCACTCTCTCTCTTTTCATCTATATCTCTATCACGGTTTCTCCGAAACGCTCTTAGATACCACTCTCTCGACCTCAGAATCGCACCAAGTAGCTCGAGAATCTGACCAACGAGCAATTACTAGATAGGTGTCGAAAGATTTCGTGCGGCAAGATTTACCACCTACCGACAAACTCAATCCAAATAATTTAACCGGTCCTACTCAGCAATGTTCTATTCTATTTTCGTATACATTTTAACGACTATTGCTAACTGTGATATTGCACTGTGTTGCACACAGTGCTGGTGGTGGTGGTACTAGTGGTAGTGGTGGTAGTGGTAGTGGTGGATCACTCGATTTCGTGACGTTTCGCGAAACGAACGCGCATATATGTAAACGTTTGAAAATTCTCTAACGAAGACACGACTAATGAATAGCCCAAAATGACAGACTTACATTTTACCGTACCCGACGACATTTGCGTCACAATTCTCTTTCTCTCTCTTTTTATTTTTCTAACTAATCTTTTTTTCTCATTCTATCTCTCTCTTTTTCATTCTTTCTTTCCTTCTTTCTTTCTCTGTGTGTGTGTTACCCCAAGCGCTTTTTTTCTTTCCCTTTAACAAACCCAATTGACAAACCGTTTTATCGGCGATTTATACCAAAAAGAAGAATAACTTTCTGACAATTTTTTTTTTTTCACGATTAATATATCCTTGGATAAAATGTACGAAGTTAAACACACACATATACACATACGTAGAGAGAAAAAGAAAGAGAGAGATTGGGTCAATACTTTTCCAAGCAGATATTTATTACGAACTGACAAATTCTAGCTAGAGTTTTCGATCATTTACTTGGTAAATGTGTATTGAAAAATTCATTCGACGTTACTGATATGCACGTCAGCCTATGAACGACGAATTCTGGGTGATATTAGAAAAAATTATCGCACATTTTCCGGTTTCTTTTTTTCTTTTCTTAATACAAATAATATAATCAATTGCGAAAAAAAATCTAAACGTATTATAACGATCTATGAATAATTCTCGATTATTTTCACGTAAAAAAAATTAAAGAGTAAGAGGAAATAAAAATAAAAGAGGGACAACGACGACGACTACTACGGAGGAGGATACGGTCCCGCAAGCGGATAGACCGGGACGATTTAAACGTTCCACCCGGCAGGGTTAGCTGGGAGAATTGAAACAAGAGAGGATAGAGAGTAAGAGAGAGAGAGAGAAAGAGAACGTGGCACGCGCGGCACGGTCGAACCCTCCAGTAACCCTTCGGGATTATCTTAGCCCCGCATTCGGACGCGAATCGGCCCACTTCCGGATACTAGTCTTCCGAATGGACGGATGGACGTTACAGTTATCAGAAGGGATGGTAAACGTCCCCACTTTTGAGTATCACTTATCCCACGCTAGTTTCCTAACTTCTTTCTCACAAACTACTTATGTTACAGTTACGAAAAGGTTAGATCATTTCAAAATATATAGAATCCACACTTATAGGTATCACTTGTCTGATGTTATTTTCCTAACTTACGATACAGTTACGAGAAGGTTAGATAATTTCGAAATATATAAAATCCACACTTTTAGGTATCACTTATATCTGACGTTACATTCCTAACTAGCTTTCCCTAACTTATTCCCTAACTTTATGATAAGTAAATGTAATGTGATAGGGGAAAACATACCTGTTGCCAGAACTGGGCTAGAAGATAAATTCGCTCCTTCTTGAAGAGCCAGTCCATGGACTGCATGGCCTGTATATCCAGCGAGTTGGCCTCCGCGGAGGCCTGCATACTTGCCAATGCCACCGAGTTAAGGCTCGCTAATACCGGCTGTTGTAGGGCCGCTGTCACGACGGAGGTGTTGCTACCGGCTACCAGATTGGCGTGGTAAACTGTCGCGGCCGGCGCATCCTCTGAACCGCCGCCAGTAGCCAACAATTGGGCCCCGATCGGCGCAGAAGGCCCCTGGAGCCCCAGTGAAGAAGCCACTTTGACGGCTTCAAACTTCTCCGCCGGGCCCAAAACTCCTCTTCCCCTCGTCCCACCGCCGCCTCCACCACCGCCGTCGTCACCACCTTCCGCGCCACCTCCGTCACTTCTTCCTTCTCTTCTTCCTTCTTCGTAACTACCACTTCCACCACTTCCTCCACTTCCTCCACCGACACCTCCACGGCCTCCTCCTGTTCCTCCTCCTCCTGTTCCTCCACCTCCGCCACCGAAAATTCCCGCGTCTCTTCTCGAACACGTCGTTTGTATTAACTTTTCCGTCGGTAACGTTTCTTTTAGACTTTTATTCTCGAATATTTTATTATTATTATTATTATTATTATTATTATTATTATTATTATTATTATTGGAACCGATCGTCTTTTTTTCAAACACTTGACCACAATTCAAATTCACCAATTATCGTCACGGGACTCATCGATACACTTTTATCATTCGATAACATTTGAAAAAAATTCAGGTGGGGGAGTATGGAGAAATTATTATCTCGCGACACAACACGTTTTTGACACCAACTTAGTTTTTCTTCTTATACTTTATTTCTCTTGATCTCTCTCTCTCTCTTTTTTTCCCTTTTATTACACTTCTAGCTTTATTTATCTTGTTTCTTTTTTTTTCTCCTAGTATCAGATATAACAAAGCTCAGACTCAGCTCAGCGCGTATTCACAAACACGTCCACAGATAATAAATAATATTAATTATTATTATTATTATTATTATTATCACGAGAGATAATAATGACCGATCTAATTCGTATTTTGCAAGTCAATCTGCCACGAGGATGATGATACTGATGTCGTAGTTCCTTTCACTGTCGGCGCGATTCCTCGAATGTTTCCTGTCCCACGGTGGGTGGCAAGTCATCTGTTATTTGACTTTCTCTAGCCTTTTCTATCTTTTTATTATTATTGTTTTTTTTTTTGTTAAAAGATCAGCTTCGCGTCAGAGTAACGATTCCGTAAATATTCTCGTCCTCATCATCGTCATTACCAACCACCGTGGTCGCGCCAAAAATTATTTTTCACAAATCGACAATAATTAGAAATAATATTATTGTCGATGATCCCTTGTTCACGTTTAAACTAGATCGTAATGGAAGCCGTTAGGGATTCCGAGGGATGCAATTATATGCTAGATATATCCTATTGTATTTGATATCGATGTTGATTAAAATCAACTGACCACTGTCCTCTTCAACCACGTAACTTTTAGAACAACTCTCCTCCCGTAGACACCGCATCACACGAATGTACCCTCTTACGTGAACTCTCACTCGCGTTTAACTATTTACTTTGACACACGACGAATTTTCGTTGAAAAACGAATATCGTTGACACCACGAGATCAGATCAGATAAAACACGGGACAGGAGAGATCAAACGTTCTCATCTGACATCTAATTCCTAATTTGTGCGAGAGAGAGACAATCTAATTGTTTCACGATTACGTACGATGATAACAAAATGCGATGATGATGATGATGATGATGATGACAACAACAATCTTGAATGATCGATCCTTAAGATCAATCTTCGATTAATTATTATCAACACCTTGGATGAACCAATTAAAATCAGTAACACTCTCTCTCTCTGAGGGGGGTCACTCAAAATTTCTATTTAGATATATTATTTATCGGAAAAAACACCAACACACCGCGATACGTCACGTAATCCGTAGTTCCATCTGACAACACTTCGTTAAAGAGGAGAACAACTGAGATTAGATTAATGAGGTTGATCAAAATAAACAGGATGATCGGTCCTCGATCGTTGATTGATCGAACGGTTGATTTGATCCTGTTCCTTGATGATCCTTCTAGGTGTCTTAGAAGATGAAAGGTAAATCCTTGGGTTGGAGTCCTCGATTGTTTCCACTTCTTATTTTTACCCCTTCCCTTTATTTCATTAATCAGTTAGTTAACCAATCTGTCTCTTATATTTTTTCTCTCTCTCTTTCTTTCTATCCTTCCTTCCACGTTGCGTGTCGTGTTGTATTTCACTGTTAGTCGCGACCGGTCTGCGAACACCCGTCGTCCGCCGCCGCCGCCACCACCGCCGCCGCTCTCGTCCGGGTGCCTCAAGAAGAGAGAACGAGACCCGTCCTAGCAGGCTCCTAACCTGAAACTAAGAGCTACCGGACGACCGATGCAATGCCTGGAGGAGGTGCAGATACTATGGTGGGGGTATGGGCGGGTGGATGACAAGGTGGTAGGGGTAGGACGACCCCTCAAACAGCCAATAACCTGTCCAGATCCGTCCCCACTACCAACCCAATACGCCCGACGACTAAGAGGGCCTTCCCAGAGTGGGGATAAGCTGATACAAATAGTGGGGGAAGCCCGAACGAAGCGGAGGCTGGCTAGGTGGTCCCTACCAGAACGGATCTCATATTTTCAACTACCCGCGCCGCCCTTTTCCAACCCCTGCCGAACCAAGCCTGCCGCCGCCTGCCGCCCTTGCTTCCTTCCTTTCTTTCTTTCTTTCTTCCCTTCTTATTCTTATTCTTATTCTTATTCTTATTCTTATTTCCAAACTCTTTTTCTTTCGATTTATCTCTATACTTTTCCTATTCTTACTATTTCTTACTTTCTGTCCGTCTCTGTCTTTTCGGTTCTATCTTTCTCTTGTATGTCTGTCTACCTGCCTGGCCTGTCCGTCTGTCTGCCTATTTTTACTTTCTTTTACACTATTCCTATTTCTCTCTAATTCTTTCTTTATCACCGTTCGTGTTCATCGAAACCCCCTGTTGTTCACTCGAGACATACAAGTTAAACATACTTTCGCGGGAAAAAATTATTGTTTACATCAACGAGTACAATTATTTACATTTTATCGATCCTTGATGATTAATCCAATCGAACCTTGGTGTAAACGATAATTGAATTAATTAAATCCCTTCTTCCCTCCCTCTCTCATCACGCCCTTCACCAACGAAGGTAAACGACGAGTAGGAAAATCCGGCCGCACAGTGCAGGGTTGGGGGGGAGGAGGAAAAACTTTCTCTTTCGCGAAACGTAAATGATCCTCTAGCTCTAGGTACGTTTAAGATTCCGAAACGGAAAGCTCATTTTGGTATTTTGGGAAGGAAGTTAAGTTTCCTTAAGAAAACCCTTTCTCTCTGTTAAGTCGAAAACTAAGACGGCAAAGACGTGGCGCCCTCGAGCGAGGATAGAACCGTTCATGCTCTTTTACTCGTGATTCTAATGATCGTTAAGAGGGAACATTCGTGACTTTTGAAACGGTGTTCAAACTATCGAACCCTTCCTTTATTCTTCCAACAATTTTACACGACCGCGACGTAGTTTAGATAACACGATTTACTATTTTAACATTTCTTTCCTTCCTTTTCCCGTTTTTTAAGTTTCTTTTTTATGTTATCACACTATTCTCACTGTCATTAATTTGGAAAGAAGAATAAGAAGAATGTAATAAAGGTAAGTTTTTGGTTTTTTTGTCATCCCCCAACCCATTCACCACCATAATATCTGCACATTATTATTATTATTATTATTATTATTATTTAATAAAATTGTGTCCCGAGAGACATAATTTATGCGATAATTTCTCTGAGATGAAAGTAATTATATAAAAAATGTTATAATTAGTTAATTATTATTTTTAGACGATAAAAATCACTGATTAGGTTGAAACAAATATCTCACTGAAACAGCTCGTGTCACACTATAAGTTATTCTCAAAAATCATTCTAAAAACTTCTTAAGAACGTAACGAATGATCGCCTTTAAGAAATTCTTGTTTGCCCAAACACCGCATACGTCGGCGGCAAGAATAAGAAAATGTATAAACGCACTGATCAATTTTATGCTTCTACATTTTTATAATTTGTCAAACACGAAAATATGTATGTGTGTATGTTTAAGTGGTCACTATCGAACAATTAGGTGGAGTCAATCCTTTATTTCATTTCGCTCACACATTTTTAACAACAATTCGGTCCCTCATTTCCTTCCTACCTTCCCATTTTAGCATTAGACATGATAAATAAAAAAAAATGAGTTTAACACGTACGAGTAATATAAAAAACAGAACAGGGAGGGGGAACAGTTCGAGTAACAACAAAGGTACCTCCTAACTTCAGAAAAGGATTGAAAAATTTCTGATTAATTTTCGGTTTATAAATCAAATACTCCCCATCTCGTTGAAATATATTATCTTCCAATAAGTTAAACAATAAAAAACAATATCACAGGTATCTCAAATATAATTGGTATTAAAATAATGATAAAAAAAAAAAGAAAACATGAAAATTAGATAAATTATCTCATACGAACGGAAAAAATTGATGACCGAAAAAAAGGGGGAAAAAAATGTCCGAAGATATTAACAGAAATCTGTATGGCGATAATGACACATAGAAATCGACGCAACCCTAATGATCGTCGAATTTATGCACCTTTCTATGAGATGCTCGCGCGCGCACTCCGTTAACTTTCTCGGAAGTTACGCGCGGCCGGAGAACGTAGACGATAATCCTGTGTAACGCGATGGTTGGAGTACTACCTACTACCTACTACTACTACTACTACTACTATTACTATTACTACTACTACGTTGTTGTTGTTGTTCAAGCGAACGTTAGCGTGGCGAACGCGTTTGGCGCCGGCTAAACTACTCAGCATCGAACTACTACCAACAGAACCACACGTAGTCAATGTTACTGGAGTGGAATCCCCGTTGATTATGTCTACGATCATTCTAACAAAAGTCTTAACGTTTGAACATTATCCTAGATTATCATCGAAACAACCCCCTATCGATTATATATCGAAAATATTTCTAACGATAAAATATTGATGAACAAAGTTTTTCATACTTTTTTCGTATTATTTCGTGATCGAATTAATAGAATAATTTTGTTTGTTTGATTTTTGTTTTTTTTTTATTTAACACAATGATATTTTTGAAATAATTTGTTTCTTTTTTCACCACCCGTCTGCCCACCCACCCTTATTTAAATTACGATACGTATACGTTTTGTATGGGTTTTCGTTTTTGTTTTCTTTTTCATTATCGTTTTATTTTATTCGTTAAAAATTGTCACGAAATCTTCGTAACATACGTCCGAAATTTTATCAGACTGCGAACTCTTCTGGGCCTCCCACGAAAATAATACTACGACCGTCTGGTTGTCAGCGCGTGCTTTACGATCACCCGGTATAACGCGAGGATTAGTTTGTCAACGGCGAGCACTGAAAGAGAAAGAGTGTGTTTATGTGTGTGTGTGTGTGTGTGGGAGAGAGAGCACGCGCGTTACGTGCGTGTTAGTATTCCGACACGCACATACACAAACAGACACAATTCTAAGTTTCGTGTTGTGTTCATAGTCTGTGCATCGGTGAACGCGTTTAACGCGTTTCTATATCTTTCTAATGTTACTACTACTATTATTATTATTAATAGATACTACGTTATATATAATACTATAAAACACTATAAACACTTTCGGAAAATTATTTATCGTGTCACCAACACACGTTCGTTTCTCTATGTATCGTTACGATCGTATAATCATTTTTAAGATTTCATTTTATTTATCGTATTTTTGTTCTAACTTTTTTTGCATCCCTTTTTTTCATTTTGATTAATTACACAAACACGTACCCCCACTAATAATAATCATAACAATTGCAATAACAATAAAGATTGATATATATATATATTTGTTATTTAAAAAAAAAAACAAAAAAAAAAGGAAAGTAATATTTTTGAAATTGAATTAAACACACGCGGACACATATAAGAAAAATATTGAATATTATGAGGGTTGAAAAAGAAGAAGGATCGTAAACATCTTCTCTGGTTTGCGCAGCTATATAAACGGCATTTCGGTGACTGTACGAGGGCCCCGGACTTCAAACGGATCTTGGAATGCGTTTCTCTTCCCTTCCCTTCTCTACCCTCCTCACTCACTCACTCTCTCACTCTCTCTCTCTCTCTCTCTTTTTATCCTTCTCTTAGCACGCGAGCAAGTTAAGAAGAGGAAGGAACGAATACAAGAAGATTGAAATGATTTCTCGAAATGTTCGGTATACGTTTAGAAAATTTACGTTTAAGTTAGTTACGTACTAGAAGAAAATCTTTTTTTTTCCCCATTGTCATACATTAACGAACCCCAAACAAATTTATTTGGAAAATAATAATAATAATTTACTTTTTAATGTTATTTACCTTAGTGTGTTCTCTTTTCTTTTTTTTTTTTCGCGAATAAATTTTGACATAACTGAAAACTATTGTTGAAAATTTATGAAAATGTTCGAAACCAAACCGAGAGAAAGAGAGAGAGAGAGAGAGAGAGTGAGTGAGAGTGAGTGAAAGAGTAGTATAGAGATTTGGTTTGTGGCTTTTTCGTTTATGTGGATTAATTGTGAATTTTGCAACGAGTATCTCTTCTAGGTTAAATAGAAAGACAGAAAGAGAGAGAGAGAGAGAGAGAGAGAGAGAGAATTTTACTGGTCGTATATACCCGAAGTATGGTCGGTCGGTTCTCGTAATAGTACGACAAGTTAATGCGCCGTCTGATATGCGACGTTGGTCAGCGTGTTTTCGATGTACCGTGGAATAACTCACTCGCGACAAATCATTTCTGAGCTTTGAATTACCCCCCTTGCTCACCCCTCTTCACCCCTTTTATTCCTGAAGACCCTATCCCTTCTCTCTAGTCGATTCCTACCCACCCCCCTTAACCCCCTTTTAAAAGATTTTATTTCTTATGAGATACGACATCTTGTCACGGGTTATAAAAATCTTATTACTATTACAACGATGACGCGAATAATAGCAATCACTATACATTGATTATTATTATTATTTGATCTTATTCGTTAAATTTTGTTTAAAACGATTATTTTAATAAATATATTTATATATATATTAATTTAATGTTGTTTTTTTCAGTTCTATAATCGAATTGAATTATATTTTTTTGGATAAAAAACGATTATACGTAACTTAAGTTATAGGTGAGTTTAATATTTGGAATAGAAATATTCGACTGTTAGAAAATTTATTTATGTCACGAGTTATAAAAAATGTACTACCACTATTTAATTGTTTTTTTTTGAGAATAATTATCTTACGATGAACAATACGTAGGATACGATACGATACGACATCTTGTCGCGAGTTATAAGAAAATTGACAATCACCAATCATCACATATTTATTCCACGATTAAACCCACACAAAACTAATCGATATAAAAAAACTTAAATAGGAATAATCCAATCTTCATTTAAATCCAAATTAACAATCAACTTTTAATAAATATCTCCAATTTCCTATACAACTGTCAACTATTTTCAACACAAATCAAATTAATTCGATGACACCTGAACAAAATTCAAATAACTCCCACCCTTTAAAAAAAATACCAATCACTGATTAAACAAATCAATTCCCTGAACATACATACTATCGTAAACGATTTTCCAACAAAACGTTTCATGAAAGACTACTCAAATACCGAATACCTAAAAAAAGGAAACTAACCAACTACCGATTAAACGTCTTTAATCAGAGAATTTCGCTTGAAACAGCACCGAGTACGAGATCTCACTTTCTTCTTACGGTCACACGCTACTCAATATACCACACTGATGATAAAGGATTCCTCTCTCTCTCTCTCTCATTCTCTCTAATTCTTTATCTGTCTTCTTGATTTTATTCTATCTCACTCATACGTATTAAACATCTTACTGCACTACTCCCTTCTCTTCTCATCTCATCTCATCTCATCTTCGAGCAACGCGATTCCCTTTCGTGCATTTTCTTTTCGAGAACCCTCCCCCTTCCCCTTCCCACTGCACCCCTCATGTATCTCTCACTTCTTTTATCTATCTTTCTTTATTTCTTTCTTTCCTTCTTTCTTTATCCTAAAGATGCGATTGTAACAATATCTTTTGCCCCGGCAACGAAAGATGCGGCTTATTCTATACTCGTGTACTGTTTAAGAGATCCTGGGTAAGTTCAAGAGCCTCGCTCAGGGACATTCAACAGAGCACACTAACTCCTACTTCTAACTCGAATGGAACACCGACACGAGAAGAGCAACGTCTTATTCGTCTTAAACGTTGTCATTCGTTGTCGTTTTCTTCGTCTACGTCTTCGTATTCGTCTTCGTCGTATTATGTTATTCAGTCTTCGATGTCTTTTCTATCTGTCCGTTTGAATGTTTGCCTATCTTTGTTGAATAATCGGACGAAATGTAAGCAAATTTTTCTTCTAACCACGGATAAGGTGTCAAGAGATTTGAACGTCTAACGAAACGTCGGAGGATGTGAAACTAACGACGACGATACTGTATCTTTTTACACAGTTTTTTCAGCTTTTTTTTTACGGAAAAACTAATTTCTAACATCTTTTTTAGTCAAACTTTTCGGTTTGAAAATTTCATTTAGAGAAATAATTTCGAAAAATCCTTTTAGACATACGTTCCGTATCTTAAATTCTATTTAGAAACATAATTTTTAAGCTCCTCACTCAGTTATTTTTCGAAACATTCGTATAGGCAAAATTATTCGATATTTTTTCATTGATTCGTGATTTTTTGTATTTTTCTTCGAATTTATTTCATCGATACTTTTTTTAAAGTGAATCTGTTTATTGGTCAACAATGATTTATAATACGAATAGATTAGATTATTTATTTATATATTTCTGAGATATCAAAATCGTTGGAATTTAGTTCGAGAAAGCGGGGGTTTTGATTTTCGATAAATGTTAACTAACCCTAACGAAGTTTCTCACTTGCGAAGAATGGGATCGTGCTAGTCAGCTAGACGCTATCACAGAAAGTCTCGAGTTCTCATTTTTATTTCTTCTTCTTCTTTTTCTTCTTCTCTCTAATCGGGAATGGTTAGCGATTTCTTTGCTACTTTCTTTCTCTCTCTCTCATTCTTTCATTACCACGAGGTAAGTTGGTTGACCGTATGCGATAAAAGAAAGTACGTCTTTTCTCGAGGACAACGATCACAGGAATTCTTTTTTTATTTTTCGATCAAATTTCTTAACCACCTTCCCCACCGCCCCTTATCTTAAAACCCCAACGACATCCCGCCCCGTGCACGTGTTCGTTCCAGAGTGCGAATTTATTTATTTAAAAAAAATAAGTAAATAAATTAATTGATAAATGATGTGTTAATAAAAAAAAAAAAAAATTGTTAAGTCAGTTGGATGAACCTGTTTGACTATTCTCTCTTTCCCCCCGTGGTTTCTTTCAGTACTACGCGTCAACGATCTCCCCTCGTAAAATCCCCCAAGGTCATTCCCGCGAGTTAGCCTCCACCACCACCACCACCAACCCACACCCGACAAAATAATTCCCGATACTTAGTGTCGAGTTTAACACGAGCTGTTTCCTTTTTCTACTTTATTTCCTATCTTCTCCTATATTTCGGATATTTCGGTTCTTACGAACTGTCATCTCAAAGAATTAACTTTGCCCCTTTTCTTTTTTACGTTATCACTGATACCAATTTTTTACGTATACATTTATACATTTTATTAATTATATTAATATGTATATATGTATACATAAAAATAAAAAACAACACACATTGTCACAAGCACACAAATCTTGATTGAAGACAATCACCTTATAACGATGCACTTATTATTCTTCTATCTTCTATCTTCTTTCAATAATTAACAAAATCTCCGATTAAATAATTACATTTTAACGAAATTGTCATTTCTACTTTTCGTTTTGTTTTTTTTTTATTAATTTTTTCCGTTGTTTTAAAATGATCTGAAGATTAAAATGTCTTCGACGAGTAGTAGCGTGTTCCGGACTCGTTGGTGCATCCGACGAAACTCGGCCGTAAGAAGTTAGCGGAGAGAAGAGAAGGCGACAAAAGGAAGAAGAAGAAGAAGAAGAAGAAGAAGGAGGAGGAGGAGGAGGAGGAGGAGGAACAAGGTGGAGGTGGAGGTGGATGAGGAGAAGGTAAAAGTAGAAGACGAAGACGAAGATTAAGAAGAGGGGCAAAGGAGGTAAAACAAGAAGAACAAGAATAAGGAGGAAGAGGAAGAGGAGGAGGAGGAGGAGGAGAACGCACACGAGGTGGCAAGAGGAGGGAAGGAGAGAGGGTGGGAGGGGGTGGGGTTGTAGGTCGAGAGTACTCGCGCGTACGTGTTCTCGGTAGCACGCTTTTGCCAAACTCTCGTTTCTCTATCCCGAAAAAGTTATCCTCCTTGGTATAGTCCCTCGTTGATCCCTCCTCCGTTAATTATTATTATTATTCTTCTTTATTTGATTATTTTAAAACCGTAGAACTGTTTCGCGTGTATTACAAAAGTAATCGTTCCTATACACCAATACTACCGCGGATATAACTATTAATCGTATTGAAAAATAAACGATATACTGGTGACAATAACTGATGATTATTCTGATTTTAGTGATGGTGACGATGATAATGGTGGTGGTGGTAGTGGTGGTGGTGGTTTTGGTGGTGGATTGTTTTTTTACTTTTGATAGTAATAATTATATCGAATTAAACCAATAATCGTGGTTGTTCACTTTTATATAGTTTCGTTATTACTATTAATTTTGATCCTCCTAATGTCTCTCCTCTCTCTCTTTCTTTCTCTCTCTGTCTCTCTTTTTTTTTCTTTCCCCATCCACGCACCTAACTCTCCACCGCTCGTCCCGTCTGCGTGAACGATGATCCTACTGGGCCTGTGTTCTGCCCGAGACTAACTCGAATGCTCGGCTCCTGCAGCCCTCACAGTCATCCCTCCAGCCACGCACTTTTCTACCCCGTCGAAAATATTGTCCAACTAACCATACACTATTACCTCAGAGGTGCATAAAAAAAGCTTTTATTTAAATCATATATCATTGATATAAAAATATATTTAATATATATTATTTATTAATTTATTATAATAATGATAATATATTTTTTAATCCGAATTAATTCAATTAATATAACGTGTAAAAATCTTGAAAACGTTTATCGTCGTCTACAACGAAACTTGGACTAAATTTTCTCAACCAGTGTACGAGGGACGACCACGGCGCAGGCCGTACGGTGGCGCCTCGTGACGGTAAAATTATGAAACCTGGCCGATGGAACGCAAAGGGTGACTACCCCTCCACTATGCTTCCTTCCATCCTTCAACCCCCCCTACTATTATCTCTCTCTCTCTGTGGCCACGAGGACACGGAACGCGCAAACCTTCGGGGGATGGTGCGCACCGTGTATCAGGTATCGGAAGTATCGGTGACTTCAACGGCCTGATCGGAAAGAAGGGTTCCCCGCCATTGGTGATACGTTTTCTTTCTCTCTCACATCAAATTTAATTATTATTATTATTTTTTTCTTTTTCTTCTTATATTCCTAATTAAAAATTAATTCTATTTATTAATCGTTACATTAATTATCTTTTATTCATCCTTTTTCTTTTTCTTTTTTTTGGCATTTTTATCTCATATTTTTTTTGTCTTCATCTTTATCAATTTTAACCTGTTCCAAATGATCGTCAGAAGTATCTTATCTGACATTTTATTCGATTATCCTTCAATACTTTATCATCGAAACTCTCGAGACACAAACTTATTTATCGACTTTTTTTCTTCCCCCCCTTAATTCTCTAGAAATATTTGTCGTAAAATTGATCAAATTATATTCTGTCTACCCAATCGGTTAATTAATATCTTTTCGAAATATTATTTTCTCCCTTTTTTTGGAAACGGGAATAAACTGACAAACGTAAAAACCTATTATTCGATTTAAAATCTATTTGTTAGACGATTAAAAACAATCTCATTTTATTACGGATTGAAAAATAATTTAATTTAATACGTTAGACAAGATTATCTTAGACAATTAATTATCCTCCATTTTTATTTTATTAATCATTTCTCAAATACAATTTAAAAACAAACAACGCAAAGACACCAAATGCAAATAGATTATCGATCAGTATACACCCTTAATCATAAAAATCAATGATCCTCAAACGAATATCATTTAATTTCATTTAAACAAACATATTAATAAAACTAAATTTGATAAAAAATAATGTATAAAACAATGAGTAAAAAATGACGATAATAGACGTTTAGGTATGAAACAACTATAATAAGTCGTACACGTTCGAATAGTCGCACGTCGTACAAGATCATTTACGAGTCCCTAAAGTCGTATCTCAAAGGACGTGTCCGGTTCGTCTGGCGAAAGGTGGATGGTAAAGGAGTGGAGGGGGGAGGGGTTTCAAATAAGAGGGGGTTTCAAGGGGGGAGGGAGAGAGGATGAAAACGGGGGGAGTATAGGGTGGAGGTATGGAGTTGGTTGATGGTGGTGGTGGTGGTGGTGGAAGAGGTACTTTTTGTCACTCCCTCTTCTTCCCTTTCTCATACACATACAATACAAATACAGATACATACACACAGTCACACACACACACATAGCACACACACAGATGAGACATGTTAAAGTTGTCTTACTCAGTCTCTTTCTCTCTCTCTTTCTCTTTCTGATTCTCATTCTGTCGAGCACCGGTTCTTCTTTCCGATCATATCGGGAGTCAAACCTCGTAGACAAGGGTGGGAAAACGGGGTTTAGGAGCATGCGCCGGGAAAGGGTGAAGTTAGGCGCAGGTTTCTCTAACCCCTCCGGTCCAATATCTTCCCCCACCACTCGGACAATCTCAAGCAGCGGCAGCAGCAGCAGCAGCAGCAACATCAGCAGCAGCAGCAGCAGCACCACCAGTGAAGGTGGTGGTAGTAATAGTAGTGGTGGTGGTGGTGGTGGTAGTGGTGGTGGTGGTAGTTGTAGTGGTGGTAGTGTGTCGGGGGTGAATGGTGGGGGGACCCAAAGCTCGGTGCGTTTCTCGACGGTCACACAACTCGACGTTTTTCCACCCTTATCTTTACTCGTTTCTCATCCTACCTTGGAAAAGTAGTATAGGCACTTTCACAACTCGTTCCTATGTATAAATACATATCTATGTATGTGTATACATACATACAGACATACGATGACAGTGTGTATGGTAGAGAAAAAAAAAAATTACGAGAGGATGTTATTTATTTTTTTTTTTCCACCCCCCTTGATTCTCTCTACGGAGACGATGATTATTGTTATGGACATCTTCTGTTATATTTTCTTTTCTTTTTTTTTTTATTAATTTTCTTTTCTTTTCTTTTTTTCTCCTTCTTTCACACATTCTCTTTTTAGAAAGAAGTATTGTATATTATATATTTTGTGATTGAAAGTCGTAAAAAATAATTCGTAATCGTTGCGAAACACGCGTAAAATTCGTGTTTTTTATTTTTTTTTTTTTTTTTTTTTTTTCTTTTTTTTTTTTTTTTTTTTTTTTTTTTTGAAGACAATCGTTTTTTGTTATAAATTTGACATTTTAATTGTTATCGAAGTATGTTGTGCAATTTTATAATACAGAATTGTAATTATTGATAAAGACGATTGTCTCTCATCAAATCGAGTTTATTTGTTTGCATATACGACGTGCCGTTAGCACGAGTTGTTAACGTTGTTTCGCCATTTTACATTGGTACAATTCGCTCGATTATTATCCAAAAAATTTTTTATCGTTTTTAACGTTACGTAACACAATCAACGACGACGACGACGACGACGACTACGTAATCGTTCCGAGATTTCATATTTTTACGACAATTTCGTATACGTTATCTTTTAACATCGATAACGATTTTGATTATATTCTGAAATAACTTTTTTAAAATGATAAAGAACACAAAAATTATGATCGAATGTAATGATTAATTTTCATTTTTATATATTCTTGTTTTTTTAATTTAATTTAATTTAATTTAATTTTATTTATTCGACTAAACTTTTGCCATTAAATTTCGAAAAGAAATAGAAATCTCGTAGGGGATTACGTGTACTCGAAATTTATTTTTCTTCCTTGATTTTACTCGAACATAATTTCATTGGATTTCACGGAAACAATATCTTGTTTCTTTGCGTTGGACATGAACATCTATTGTACTAGATACATTATCTTTTCTATCTGTGTACACAGAACCAATGAGAACGAGTAATAATCGTAGTAACGTTAAGCCCGTTAAATAACTATAACGTATGTTATTTCTTTTATTATTTACTTTATTTATCAGGACTAATAAATTCCTACGAAATAATCGATAGGACGTTAAGAAGTTAAACCAATCAATGATAACGAATACGAGTTAAACAATTTTTATATATATTATTTGAAAATAAATCATATTTTTTGTTTAATATTCATTGAAATATATATAAAATATGTATATTAAAATTAATTACTGATTCTTTTGTTGTAGAGAAAATATTTATGAACAATAATGAATGAATTATAAAATTCTACGAAATGTATATAATAATAATAAAATCAACCACAACATTATTGCATCCCAGATAAAATTAATTACCATATCTAATAATTATACAAAACTTTTGTAAACGAATATTCTCATTGTTATACAATATATTAAAAAAGTCAAATAAAGATGAAGTGTAATTATTGATTTTTACCGTTCACATAACAATTACTTTTTCATTAATAACATAGAACAATATTCGACTAACATTGTTAAACAATATACAAAAAAATGATAATTAAAATAAAACACAAGTTTAATATTAGAAAAATCTAAAAAGAACATAACCTCTAAATATAAATTATCAATTACGTGTGTGTGTTTAAGAGATGAAAATATTAAATAATAGTATTAAAAAAAACTTGTCGAAATAGAGAAGATGGTGGAACGAGAATAAAACAAGAAATGGCATCAGAATGAGAGGGATCTTCCGCGTTGTGTCCAGTTGTTCGTTCATCTTTGCGTGACCTATTGTTTTGCCCCGTTGTTTCTGAAAGCTTCCACGCACATATATATTCTAAGCGTTTATAGTTTCGATCATAATATAATG